GGTTGACTACCTGGGAATCCAAGGAGGTAACCATCATGCCTTCTGCTAGCCCCTCTTGGGGCTAGCAGAATATTATTTCAACATATGAACACAAACATTCATTCTTTGGCAGCCATTGCTAGATCCCAAAGTTCAACCACCAACTATAGATGTCAGCCTGCCATCCATCCAAAGACCTAAGAAGGGATTCACCCAGAATATTAGTGAGTGAGACCCCCAGAACACTCAGACCAGAAATCATTTCAAACTTAAGGTGTATCCTGCCATGTTGAGGGACCAAGGCTGCTAAAGCTATGCTCTAAGCCTCATCTTCTAGATCCCGAAACACTCAGGCAAGATAGGGTGACCTCTGTCCTCTCTCCATCTCTGTCTCTCTGTCTCTGTTTTATTTTTTAAAATTTTTGAACCACTTCTTCTCACCTCAGGCCTTTTCTTTCTCTCACTAATTTCAGAAGCCATTTTAAATCTGAGGTTTGTCCTGGCATGTCCACACGGCATGTTAAGGTGCTATGCAGTTTTTATATTTTTCCTTTTAAAATTTTTTTCTTTTTTTTTTTTTTTTGGTCTAGCTTTTTATTGAACTTTTCTCTTTTCATTTTCTTTTGCTTTTTTTTTTAAACTTACTTTGCAACTTTGCTCTTCATTCTCCACACACTGAGTATCTAGACAAGCCTACGTGCACAGAAGCTGAGCATCTGAATACCTTTAGGGTCATTGAAATCCTCAACACTTATTGAACCTCCTGCTTTCAGGAAGAAACTTCTTTTTATACATCTGAACTCATAATCTCTTTCTGTGGATATCACGTTGCAAAATACAGTAGAGGAGAGATTTTGAAACAGAATGACCAGAAACTACTGCAGAGGCACAAGAAATACGAGAAACCAAGAAAATATCTCTCCCCTAACTGAAAAGAACAATCCTTCATCATCCACAGACAGTACAGTAGAACTCATGGAAATGTCTGATAGAGAATTCAGAACATTCATAATGACAAAACTAAACAAAATGCAAGAGCTGAGAGTCAGTGAACTCCAGAAAATGCAGGAGAAAAGAGATGAGTTCCAGGAGGTGAGGAAATTCTTGCATGATCTGAAAGAGGAAATGCACACCATAAAAAAGGATCAAATGGAGCTGTTAGAGATGAAGGCTGCAATACAGGAAATCAGAACCTCCCTCAACAGTATTAAAAGCAGATTAGTCTACACAGAAGATCGAGTCTCAGATGTTGAAGGCAAAACCTCTGACCTAGAAAACAAAACAAAACAAAAAACTGAGAAAATAACCCCCTAAAATGAGAATACGAGAAATACAAGATGCCATTAAGCACCCAAACATCTGGATAATTGGTATCCCGTAAGGTGAAGAAACTAACAAGGGCATTGATTATCTAATTCATGAAATCTTGGAAGAAAACTTTCAAAATCTAGGGAGACATTCAAATATCCATAGAATCAATCTAAGAAGATCTTCTCCAAGACAGATCATAGACAGATTGGCAAAATCCAGACAAAGGCAAAATATTAAAATTGACAAGAGAGGAATGCGAGATTACTTAAAAAGCTTATCCCATCAGGCTAACATCAAACCTCTCATCAGAAACATAAGTTTTAAGTCACCAGGTCCAGGACTCAAACCATGATTGATGACATGGGAGTTCAGTGATATAACCATTAGGCCATCTGCTGGTCTCTCTTGGACTTCTTTTATAAGGGTACTAAAGTATCTTAAAGGCCTAACCTTCTAATATCATGCCTTTGAAAATTAGGATTACAACATATGAACACAAACATTCAGACCATAGCAACTAAAGAAGCCAGAAAAAAGTTTGAAAAATTATATTCAGTCTCTGTAGAATGCAAAGCAGTAGACTATGAAAATAGGGCAAGAAGGCCATAGTAGATTCTGGACTAAGATTAAGAAAAAGTGTTGGAAGGAAGATGGATGAGGTAAGAAAGTATAAGACCAACTAAAAATGCAATGGCATCATAAATGTTGTACTCAAGACAATAAAGAAGTGAAATGGTGAACAATCTTTTCAGTGTTATGTAAGACCAAATTGAAGAACCCTCCCAGAATGTAGAAAAGTTATGATAACAGTGAGATAATGAGACAGTTATCCTCACAGGTAATACTGACAGAACCCAAGTTTTATAGGTATTCTTCAGAAGTAGAACTAGAAGTTTCAAAAACATAACTGAAGAAAAACTTTCTAAGTCAAAAAAGGCTTATCATGTTCTATTTAAGACTGACAGAAAGAGATCACAGTTAGACAGATTTAGCAACTTTTTAAATGACAAGTACAATCTGTATATCTTCCAGTCTTCCTCATCTTAAAATATAAATTAGAACATTGTCTTTAATAATAATTATTATTTAATCTTTGTTAATAATAGTTTACTCCTGAAGCCTTGTGACTCCAACTTGAAGCAGATCCTCAGCTAAATTTTCTAGCATATTTTTCTCTCCAACGTCTATAGAGAAAAGTTTCTGTTGCAGTCTTGCACCTGGCCTGCACCTCCACCATTGCTTGACTCACAGACCTCCAGTACCACAGAAAGCAACCTGGGCTTCTGCTGGGTCCATTCTGTGGCTTTTCTTCAATTATGATTTTGGTAACTTCTAGCTCACTCTATTTCTAGAACTCTCACACATCCCTTGGGCATCTATACCACTGTCTTATTTCTTCCAGGCACATTACTCATTGTACATGTTTCTACCCTGGCCCCAATGAGAATCACATCCATTTCCTTTTTACTTGAAGGCTTACCAGTTATGGGATAGTATTTGAACTCAGAGCCAAACACTGGTGGCTACCACATGTGTTGTCTTTCAGAGCCTAAAACCCATTCCCACTTCCAAAAACAAGGAGCTCCTTAAAGAAAGTACCACTTCCCACCTTAGCTTGTGGTCTGACACCTGTGATCAAGCCTGGCTTTTTTCCACTTTCTGGGAGTTCCCAAAAGTGTATTTTCATCTCTTTGCAAGACAAAAGTTTAGTCTTGATGGCCTCAGATAAGGAAGGAGTTTCCTCTTCCTTGCATGCTAAGGGCATTTCCTCAAGCCTTCCTTTCATATCCCAGAATCTGGCACTTCCTGTAATGATGGACCAAAGGCATAGTTACTGCCATCGCAGAAGTTCACTGCAATGTGACATCCCCTATGATCTTTCTTAGAGACAACCTCATCAGAGCACACAAAAAGAGTGACAACAGCACAAAGATACACATGTATACCTCACCTTGTCCCATTCCAAATTAAAAAGAGAGGGAATGCTCTGCTGTGCTGAACACTTCGATGTCTGGCTCAGACTTCACACATGACTAGCAACAACCGTAGTGGTTAAGTTGGAACTTCACCTCTTTAGGTACTTTTTTGGCAAGACCTTTTCAAGAAGAATGTTTATTCCAAGTGTGTGCAGTGGGATTGGGAGCACATCCTGGATGCTAGTAGAAGTGGGGAATGACTTCCCTCCATACATCTTCCTCCAGACCTGTGTTGCTTGTGTCCAGTGTAGAAGACAGTTGTCTTTCTAGCCAAGTGCACACTGTATCTCCACATGTTCTCAGGTGAGGTATCCATACGCAACAGTATAAAGGTGGAAAAAGAAAACCAATCATCTAGCCAGATTTTGTTTCATACAAAATAAGAATGATCAGCTTCTACCTAGGTTCCTTTGAAACTCTAAATTTCATATATTATTATTTTCATTTAGTTGCCTTTTACCTAAGTCATCACAGAAAGATACTCTAATATCCAAGAGCTATAAAAGAAATAATTTGCCATTTTTAAAACACACACACACACACACACACACACACGCACACACTATGCAAAGAAAACTCTAGAGGAAACATGAAAGTATTTACAGTGGTTGGTTCTGGGTGCAGATACTATCAGTGATTTTCATTCTGGGCTATTTTTTCTATTTTATAATTTCTTATTTACATTTAATTGTACACCTTTGTGAGGCACAATGTGGATTTTCAATGCATGCATGCACTGTGTGACAATCCAATTAAGGGTAATACCATATTCATCATTTTCAATAAAGACTACATTTGAGAAATATATGTAAGATTATCAATGGCTTTTTAAAAAAAAAAAAGTTTATTTATTCTATGAGTGAAAAAGAAGAGAAAGATGCAGCAATGCTAGTAGGGTCTTCACACCACAGTCCACCCCCAGCCTCAGTCAGCCCCAAATAGTGGATGCACACATGCCCTGTGTACTCAGGAAGGTTTCCAGACCTGAGCTTGGAACCTTCCCATGTGAATCAGCCTTAGAGAGAATTGTGTTTACTTCTGGGTCACAATCCAGGCCTCTTATTCTGCTTCTTTATATTTCTTTGTAGTTTTTCAAAATTTCCTTAATGAAATGCATTACTATTTTAACCACTGAAAAGCAAAATAAACATTGGAAATTTTAAAGTAAAGAGCATCTACTAGAAATGGTATAGAAAAAAATTACAGAACATCTGCAAGGGATGAAATACACTTGAACTGTGTTTGTCAGATAATAAAGAAAAATATACATATTCTTTTTTATAAAATGTCAACATTTGCTTAATATTCTGTACTCATGTTTCACATTAAAATGATGGGCTTTAAGAATAGAGCTAATATTTAAACTTTTTATTTTTTGAGATTAGTTTTGCTATAGAGCATGTACACTTACAGGAGAAATAGAGAAAGCAAGAAATCACCCCCTGGGGGAATGGCCACACTGCAATCCCTTCTCTTCCATTCTCCTCCTGGGATTTTAGGCACATATGCATACACCTGGTCCAAGTTTCAAGCTGCCAGATCTAGGACTTGAATCGCAGTTGGCCATGTGGAAGTCCAGTGACATAATTATTATGCCATCTGCCTGCTAGTCCCTGAAATACTATTTATAGTCAAAAGGCTGTGGAGGATCAGGTAATTACACACCTGTGTACATTTTTTTCCTTCTTTCAACTTAGCATTTTTATCTTAAGTCTCTTTTTGATTTGTTCATAGGTCGAGCAGTATCATAATGTCATTTTCCATGGCCCAGAAGGAAGCTTGCAAGACTACATAGCACATCAGCTTGCACTCTGCATGAAGGTATTGATTCCTTGCATACCTTCTCCTTTTCTTTGAAGATTCAAACATGTGTTGAACTAATCACTATTTTCTTATCACAGCATAGACAAATGGCGGCAGGATTCTCCAGTGAAATAGTAAGAGTTGAAGTGGATGCTGGTTTCTCCAAGGAACAGCTAGTAGACCTGTTCATCAGTACTGGTAAGACCATTTTGGCAAACTGGATTGTGACAGCCAAAGGCATGCTTTTCAATGATGCCATTACAAAGAAATAAACTGTGTTGCTTGGAGATAAACTTAAGTCAACCTTTCAATTATTCATCAGCTATGGGAAGGCAAATGGCTCTTAGATGAATATTGATATATATGATATATATATATATATATATGCATTTATTGAGAATCCTGTGTTTTCCTTTCCTTTTCTTCTCCATCTTTCATCAAAACTCATTAATCATTGTGAGCATATTATGTGCCTGGCACTAACAGTATGCCAAGGGCGATGTTGATGGAAGCCATCCACCCTGGCAGGACTGTGTACTGTCCCACTGATGCTGTTTGGTACTGCTGGAGCACAGTGATAATAAAAGGCAGATAAATTTTTAGTAAGTTCATTGTTAATAAATTCTCTACAACCAATGTAGCAATAAGCTGCACCTTAGACAAACTGCTTTCTCTTCTGTGCCTTGCTATGCCATTGACTGGCACTTGGCAGTAATTAACTGTCTTACTCTGCTACTGTGTTGTGTTGCTAACAGAACTACCTGAGCCTGGGTGATTTACAAAGAATAGAGAATTACTTGGCTCACAATTTTGGTGTCTGGAAAGTTCAAAGGCCTGGGGCCAGCATCAGGTCTTCCTCTGGTGCTATGATACAACATGGCCAACAGAAGTAGAGGAGCAGGAGAATGCATGTGGAGAGAGTAACTTGGGGGCAGCCATCTTCCTTTTATAACGACTGGTCCCAAAAGAGCTAGAACTCTCTTCCTCCTATAAACAAGTGGCATTAATCCATTCATAAGGTTGATACCTTCATGATCTAAATAACACCCACTACACCTCACCTTTTAAAGGTTTCAAATTTTAAAAGTCTTTCCACTCACACTAGGGATCAAATTCTAAAACATGAACCTTTAGGGGGACAAATCATTATCTAAACTATAGCATTCATTCACTTAATCTCCACAGCAGCCCTATGCAAGTCAGTATCATTATTTGTATTTCAAAGTTGGGAAGACAGGCACAGAGAAGTTTAGTGACTTGTTACAACCATGTAGTAACAGAAAAATAATTAAGTACATTCATTAGTATAATGATTCATGAGTTTTCTGCCTTGAAATCCAGAACCTAACACTCCCAAGTGTCACCAGATAGAGATGGCATAACCCTGCATATCTTAGCATAACCAGCAACTGTGACACAAAACTGAAGTGGCCAGACTCTGATCTCCAGAGGCTCAATGTCACAGACACAATAGAGAGAGGATAAAGGGATTGCAAGATCAGAGAAAGATAAGTTGAGATATTGCCTCAAAATCTCTCTCTCTCTCTCTCTCTCTCTCTCTTTCATTTTGAGGTGGGGATGCTTCTTGTCTTTGGAGCTATGACAAAAGGAGATATCTTGTGGCTAAAGCAACTATAGAAGATGTTTAAGGAAGCAAAAATTGCCCACAATTGCAAAATTAAGAAACAGGTTTACTTTTTTTTTTTTTTTTTTTTTTTGTTTTTAAAAAGAGAGGGAATGCTCTGCTGTGCTGAACACTTCGATGTCTGGCTCAGACTTCACACATGACTAGCAACAACCGTAGTGGTTAAGTTGGAACTTCACCTCTTTAGGTACTTTTTTGGCAAGACCTTTTCAAGAAGAATGTTTATTCCAAGTGTGTGCAGTGGGATTGGGAGCACATCCTGGATGCTAGTAGAAGTGGGGAATGACTTCCCTCCATACATCTTCCTCCAGACCTGTGTTGCTTGTGTCCAGTGTAGAAGACAGTTGTCTTTCTAGCCAAGTGCACACTGTATCTCCACATGTTCTCAGGTGAGGTATCCATACGCAACAGTATAAAGGTGGAAAAAGAAAACCAATCATCTAGCCAGATTTTGTTTCATACAAAATAAGAATGATCAGCTTCTACCTAGGTTCCTTTGAAACTCTAAATTTCATATATTATTATTTTCATTTAGTTGCCTTTTACCTAAGTCATCACAGAAAGATACTCTAATATCCAAGAGCTATAAAAGAAATAATTTGCCATTTTTAAAACACACACACACACACACACACACACGCACACACTATGCAAAGAAAACTCTAGAGGAAACATGAAAGTATTTACAGTGGTTGGTTCTGGGTGCAGATACTATCAGTGATTTTCATTCTGGGCTATTTTTTCTATTTTATAATTTCTTATTTACATTTAATTGTACACCTTTGTGAGGCACAATGTGGATTTTCAATGCATGCATGCACTGTGTGACAATCCAATTAAGGGTAATACCATATTCATCATTTTCAATAAAGACTACATTTGAGAAATATATGTAAGATTATCAATGGCTTTTTAAAAAAAAAAAAGTTTATTTATTCTATGAGTGAAAAAGAAGAGAAAGATGCAGCAATGCTAGTAGGGTCTTCACACCACAGTCCACCCCCAGCCTCAGTCAGCCCCAAATAGTGGATGCACACATGCCCTGTGTACTCAGGAAGGTTTCCAGACCTGAGCTTGGAACCTTCCCATGTGAATCAGCCTTAGAGAGAATTGTGTTTACTTCTGGGTCACAATCCAGGCCTCTTATTCTGCTTCTTTATATTTCTTTGTAGTTTTTCAAAATTTCCTTAATGAAATGCATTACTATTTTAACCACTGAAAAGCAAAATAAACATTGGAAATTTTAAAGTAAAGAGCATCTACTAGAAATGGTATAGAAAAAAATTACAGAACATCTGCAAGGGATGAAATACACTTGAACTGTGTTTGTCAGATAATAAAGAAAAATATACATATTCTTTTTTATAAAATGTCAACATTTGCTTAATATTCTGTACTCATGTTTCACATTAAAATGATGGGCTTTAAGAATAGAGCTAATATTTAAACTTTTTATTTTTTGAGATTAGTTTTGCTATAGAGCATGTACACTTACAGGAGAAATAGAGAAAGCAAGAAATCACCCCCTGGGGGAATGGCCACACTGCAATCCCTTCTCTTCCATTCTCCTCCTGGGATTTTAGGCACATATGCATACACCTGGTCCAAGTTTCAAGCTGCCAGATCTAGGACTTGAATCGCAGTTGGCCATGTGGAAGTCCAGTGACATAATTATTATGCCATCTGCCTGCTAGTCCCTGAAATACTATTTATAGTCAAAAGGCTGTGGAGGATCAGGTAATTACACACCTGTGTACATTTTCTTCCTTCTTTCAACTTAGCATTTTTATCTTAAGTCTCTTTTTGATTTGTTCATAGGTCGAGCAGTATCATAATGTCATTTTCCATGGCCCAGAAGGAAGCTTGCAAGACTACATAGCACATCAGCTTGCACTCTGCATGAAGGTATTGATTCCTTGCATACCTTCTCCTTTTCTTTGAAGATTCAAACATGTGTTGAACTAATCACTATTTTCTTATCACAGCATAGACAAATGGCGGCAGGATTCTCCAGTGAAATAGTAAGAGTTGAAGTGGATGCTGGTTTCTCCAAGGAACAGCTAGTAGACCTGTTCATCAGTACTGGTAAGACCATTTTGGCAAACTGGATTGTGACAGCCAAAGGCATGCTTTTCAATGATGCCATTACAAAGAAATAAACTGTGTTGCTTGGAGATAAACTTAAGTCAACCTTTCAATTATTCATCAGCTATGGGAAGGCAAATGGCACCTAGATGAATATTGATATATATGATATATATATATATATATATGCATTTATTGAGAATCCTGTGTTTTCCTTTCCTTTTCTTCTCCATCTTTCATCAAAACTCATTAATCATTGTGAGCATATTATGTGCCTGGCACTAACAGTATGCCAAGGGCGATGTTGATGGAAGCCATCCACCCTGGCAGGACTGTGTACTGTCCCACTGATGCTGTTTGGTACTGCTGGAGCACAGTGATAATAAAAGGCAGATAAATTTTTAGTAAGTTCATTGTTAATAAATTCTCTACAACCAATGTAGCAATAAGCTGCACCTTAGACAAACTGCTTTCTCTTCTGTGCCTTGCTATGCCATTGACTGGCACTTGGCAGTAATTAACTGTCTTACTCTGCTACTGTGTTGTGTTGCTAACAGAACTACCTGAGCCTGGGTGATTTACAAAGAATAGAGAATTACTTGGCTCACAATTTTGGTGTCTGGAAAGTTCAAAGGCCTGGGGCCAGCATCAGGTCTTCCTCTGGTGCTATGATACAACATGGCCAACAGAAGTAGAGGAGCAGGAGAATGCATGTGGAGAGAGTAACTTGGGGGCAGCCATCTTCCTTTTATAACGACTGGTCCCAAAAGAGCTAGAACTCTCTTCCTCCTATAAACAAGTGGCATTAATCCATTCATAAGGTTGATACCTTCATGATCTAAATAACACCCACTACACCTCACCTTTTAAAGGTTTCAAATTTTAAAAGTCTTTCCACTCACACTAGGGATCAAATTCTAAAACATGAACCTTTAGGGGGACAAATCATTATCTAAACTATAGCATTCATTCACTTAATCTCCACAGCAGCCCTATGCAAGTCAGTATCATTATTTGTATTTCAAAGTTGGGAAGACAGGCACAGAGAAGTTTAGTGACTTGTTACAACCATGTAGTAACAGAAAAATAATTAAGTACATTCATTAGTATAATGATTCATGAGTTTTCTGCCTTGAAATCCAGAACCTAACACTCCCAAGTGTCACCAGATAGAGATGGCATAACCCTGCATATCTTAGCATAACCAGCAACTGTGACACAAAACTGAAGTGGCCAGACTCTGATCTCCAGAGGCTCAATGTCACAGACACAATAGAGAGAGGATAAAGGGATTGCAAGATCAGAGAAAGATAAGTTGAGATATTGCCTCAAAATCTCTCTCTCTCTCTCTCTCTCTCTCTCTTTCATTTTGAGGTGGGGATGCTTCTTGTCTTTGGAGCTATGACAAAAGGAGATATCTTGTGGCTAAAGCAACTATAGAAGATGTTTAAGGAAGCAAAAATTGCCC